TCTCTCTCTTTCTTTCTCTTTGTTTGATCAATCATCCTCTCTATTTTGTGTGTCTATGTATCTGTCTCTATGTTTGTGGGCATGTACATGGAGGTCAGAGAATGCCCCATTCGAGTTAGCTCTTTCCTTCTACCATGTGGTTTGTGTGATTGAACTCAAGTTGTCTGGCTTGGCAACAAGTGAGGTGTTTTGCCATCTGGTTGTTTTTATTTTTTAAATGAATAAAATGTCCCCTTCCCCAAGCCCTTCTGTATTGGTACTAACAAAGTCTCTCTCCTTTCCTTGCATTTCTAGCATATCCTCTAAGTGTTCCAGAAGGATTTTGAGAACCATCCTTTCCTAAATTAAAGCTGGAATATTGAGGATTTAGAAAATTGAGGTAAGTAAGGGCTGTTCTCTTTCTTAGCCTTTTGGAAGTAAAATTTAGCTTTGAGAATAAAAATTTAGCTTTAGTCTTTGTATCAAGATTTAAGGTATGCTTTAATGATTTTTTTTTGGTTTTGTTTTTTTAAATAAGCCTTCCTGGCTTATTTATTCATCTATATCCTGTCCTTCATCTTCCTATTCATCTATATCCTGTCCTTCTTTCTCAGCATTTCTTCCATTGCTTGACCGTCGTATCTAACATGTTCTCCCTGCTCCCAGCTGAAGAAACCAGTCTCTCATAGGAGAATCAGCTGTGTTTCTTTGCTGTGAGATGACTGACCTGGGGGAAGAACAGAAGGTCAGGAAGGGTCCTATATTGTGATAACTAGGTGAGAACACATTTGGAGCACATGAACTGTGAGATGTTTCCTGATGCCTAATACAATCCGAAAAACTAGCAGAACTAAGGGTGTTGTACAGAAAATAGACAAAAGATACCGATGACATTTATGTGTTAACCCTCCCTTTGCCCTTTTGGGTCCCCCCTAGTGTCTCTTTCCTTGTCTGTTATTCTTAGCTGTTTGCCCTATTGTGCCCTTACCAGTCTTCATTGGCCTTAATGATAGGGCATATGTGGGCTTCTGCTTTTCTGCCTATAGACACAAGCCAACACTACTCATTAGCCACAAGGTACATGTTGAAAGGTTGTTGTTTCCTGTAGTCAGTTTTCACAGTAGTAAAAAGAACCCCGGGCTCACTGCACTCTCCCCATGAGAGCAACGTCTTTTAAACCACCTCTTATAATGGCCCATTTGTCTATTATGGTTTCTTGTGGTTTCATACCGAGGTTTTGGTGCATTGCTTTTGACCTACAGTATATTTTTAGTACTAAAGGCAGAGTTCAATGAATGTCAAATCATGAAAGCAAACGAAGAGGACGGATTTGTACATCTAGGGAAAAAATGTGCTTAATTGTATGTCTTCTGATGACGTCTGTCTATGATTATGCTAATTCACGTGCTTTCTTTGGTGATGCCCATTTTGATGGCTTTTATAGAGGTGGGAGTAGCAGCTGGTCTTGCTCCTAAAGACCAGAGCATTTGTGAGTGCTACTCTAGCAGCTGGACACACAGAGAAACATGCATCCCAGCTATAACTAAGTCAAGAATTATTATCAGAGCTTAAGACCCGGCTGTGAAATTTGAAGGAGTTATTACTGTATCTGCAGGCTTTGATATGCCTTGCAGAAATGGCATGGCATTCTTTTTTTTTTTTTCATCAGTCTTTCTTCCAGGATAATAAATATTTAACAGAAGGTTCTAGATCTTCTCTCACTAACTTGACCCTTTGCCATCAACGCAGGCTTAGGGGACATACTTAGGGACTCTTGTGTCGTTTGAATGGCAGCATCCTGACTTTGGTCTTCAAAGCGAAGATGATAACCAAAGTCTACCCCTTCCAAACATGGGCTCCCCTGCCTGCTTCCAGAAGCAACACACGCCTTGCCATCTGCTTAGGACTTCACAGTTCATAAAATTCTTTCCATCCTGTCATCCTGTCTGCTTTCTTTTATTGCACAAGTGTTTACTTTTTATTGCTCAGTATTTACTGAGATGCCGCAGCATACCACTGTGCAGGGTGCCTGGAGTCCTGGAGGATGAACTGTTGATCCCATGCCTAGAGAATTCAGAAGACCATGGCTGGAGTCTGGGGGCGATTGCATGGCCTGAAATCAGACTGCTAATTGTGGTGGCTTTCACATGTGAACATAGGGCTTCTGTTTCTGGACCTGCCTGATGATCCCCTTTCCTGTCTTTTGCCTTCTTCTCTAGCCATATTCCCCCTCTTTCCCATCCCCTCACCTCCTTTGACCTCCTTTGACCTCCTTTCTGCCTCCATTTACCCCCTTTCTACCAGCTTATTTCTTCCAATGATGAGCGGCATTCTCTCTACCGTACTTTTGTGGGACGTGAGTCGGACTATACAGAGCTGGGCTTGGGATTTGTGTGACTTCCCTTGAGAACATAGCCTTAGCTCTTATTCTGTCAGTACCTTTTGTAATGATGGCAGGATGTTCCAGTTCCCTCGTTGTCTTCATCAACTCTTCTATACCAAGTCAGGTGCTATAGCGGGTTGAGGTGCTAACTATGGATAAGCCACTAGCTCTGTCATTAAAATGCTTCAGGTTGTTGGTGACACATGCCTTTAATCCCAGCACTTAGGAGGCAGAGGTAGGAAGATCTCTGAGTTTGAGACCAGCTTAGTCTACAGAGTGAGTTCAGGACAGCTAGAGCTACATAAGATAAACCTTGTCTTAGGAGTTGGGGGAGGGGGAAGCTGGATATATTAGTCAGGATTCTCTGGAACAGTAGAATCAATGGGAAATGAAAGATAGGCATGTATCTCTAAATCTATGTCTATATGGAGGAGTTATTTTTTTCAGAAAGCATTGATTCATATCACAGAGGTTGTGAAGTTTTGATGGTCTGCTGTGTATATCTAGAGACCAGAGAAGCTGATGGTGTGTATAGACAGAATTATGAAAGATTGTCTCAGCTCAAGCACCCAGGCAGAGATGGAATTAACTTACTTTCCCTGCTTCCTTACTCAGCTTTCTAGGCACCATTGAATTCTGATCCTCAGTGGGCTGGGTGATGCTGATGCCCGCCCAAACTGATGCAAGCCACTTACCCCACTCACTCTTCTTCCCTTCTTGTCTGGAAACACCATGCCCTTAACCAGCTCCAGTAGTAGCTCTTGGCCCAGACAAATAGACACACTGGGTAGACACAATATATCTAACCATCAATTGACCTGCTGGGTAGACACAGTGTATCTAACCATCAATTGACACACTGGGTAGACACAATGTATTCAATTGTCTGAATCAGCTGACCCACATCCACCTTAGGCCACAAGCTGAGTGCACTTAGATGGCCGAGACACAAAAGCGGCCCTCTTCAATCCAAGTTGTGCAACAAGGAGACCAAGTTGAGTCATCATAAGTTATTGCCCTTATCTGGCTATGTCCCTGCTTTGATGTTTACCCAACACAGAACCCCCACTGATTGATGCTATTTGCCTCATCATCACTCAGATGTCAGCTAGGTCTGTAATGAGCACTGCTGTTTTCATAGCATCAGGCTGTTAGGATTATATATAGAAAGAGCTTCGGCTCTGGCATTACACCTCGTGACCTACGGAACACCTCACTTTCAAGATGTGATGGGAATTCGTCTAAGACTCTGGTCATTCCTTCAAATGTTTGTATGTTGTGTCAGTCTCTTAGCCCCTTCTCCTGAGGCATGCTAGGAGACCTCACAGTGCAGGATTAGATCTGCTAAGGAGTTGCTTTCCAGGCTGCCGTAGTACTTGCTAGTAGAGGAGTATCTGGTTCTAGTAACATTGGTGGTGAGTTAGATAATATTGGGGACATTGCTTATTGAGTTAGGGGACTAGCTCAGGTGTATTATTTTTCCATGTCTCAAGCACTATACATGTCTCATCTCATCGACTCTTCAACACTCATGTTGCCTACTTAGGAATGCTTTGGCTATTGTACCTGGACAAAAGAGACCGTGACTCAAATGATGCCCAAGACCGTGGCTCTGAAGGACTGTAGGCCAGGTGGCCAGACATGGGTATTCAAAAGAGGATTGGAAACTTCTGTTTGGCTCTTCCCTGATGGTGTCATTACTAAAGTACCTCTTTACCCTGGCTTCATTGTCCCGGTAACAGCTGCTTCTTGTCCACGGGGCCTCTGTGTCCCATGCTAGTACCAAGCTCCATCTCCCTCCTGTCAGGCATGATGCCAAGGAGGGCCCTGGGCACTACGACTTTGCTTCTCATTCTGAGGAAGTGTCTTTGCTTTAGTTACTGCTTCTCCCATCCCGTTTCCTTTCTTACACTCTCCCATACTCAATTCTTGTCTTGTCCTTTCTCATCATTCTAAGACAGCCCTGTGAATCTTCCCTTGATGAGCCCAAATGAGAAACTGAACTTCCAATCTCTCATTTCCTTTAGTCACATGAGCTGTAATTCAGATTTCTGTTGGTCATTTGGAGACTCAGGGTATTGCCATCCTCCCTACCTACAGCGTCCCCCACTTTCCCTGCAGCACCCACTCCCTCTGCAGCTTGTGCCAGGAAGTCCTGTTTCCTAGCTGGAGCCTTTTATGTTCCAGTCCACAGGCTGGGGGACTCACAGACAGCCCCCGTAGCCTGCTGCGCATGGTGGTAAGGCTTTGGGTTTTCCATTACATTGATCTGTCCCCAGGGTAGGCAGGGCTCTTGTGTCTGCAGGAGTATGAGAAGGCATAGGCTAGAAATAGCCTTGTCAAAATAGACCAAGGGCATTGCTGATAGGGGAAATGAGGCCGACCTGGGGAGAAGTGTAGGTCAGGTGCTTCTTGAGGGGCTTTCCTCTGTGAGGGGCCCTGTAGCTAAAGGGTGACTGAAATCCTTCCTGTGACCCTTTAGACCTATAGGAGGCCCCCATCAGATACAAGAACTTCCTGTTCCCTCTTCACTTTCCAATATTTACAGAGCAAGAAGGGTTTGCTCAGTTCCTCTTTCTCTTTTCCCCCTTGCTCCAGTCTTAGTGTATTTGGCCTGCTATAAGGAAGTGTGGTTATAGGCTGCGTGGCTGTGGAACACCAGAAATTGATTTCTCCTGGTTCTGGAGGCTGGGCATCCCAGATTGTGGGCTGAAAGGATTAGTGTGTGGAAAAGGCCCGCTTTTTGGTCTTTTTGGTTCATGGCCAGCTGTCTTCTAGTTTTCACCTGGGGGATGGGGTGAGGCATGTCTTTTCTAAGGACACTTATTGTAGTCACTGGGTTCTATTCATGACATTCCTTACCCAAGGGTCCCATCTCCACGTGCCATCAACTTGGAGGTTAGGGGTTCAACATATGATTTTTATGAGGGCATAAACACTCAATCCATAGTGGCCTCCTTTGCTATATCTCTTGAGTGCACTCTCCTTCCTCACCAGGCATGTCAGCCAAATTTCAC